ATAAAATGAAAATATAAATAATTCCTAATAGTTAACCTTTGAAAATGGATGATGAATTGAATAGTAATGTCTTCTTGATGATGTAATGAAGAAGATGGATAAAAAGTTAGGGTTTATAAATAGTAAGAAGCTATGTGTTTTTTTTTTTTTAATTCTTTTTTTTTTTGGGACCAAAATTCATATTACCTAATATAATAATTATATCTCTAATATTTATAATATACAAAACAAATCATTACATCACAACATTAATGACATTCAAATCAAGTATTAAATACTACTAAAAATGTGTCATTAAGGGTAATATTGATCTTTCACACCCAAAAAAGTAACATTTTTGACCATTTTTAGTGCAACCGAATATTTTTGTGCATTTTCAAATTTAATGATATTTATGAAAAATTTCCTTTTTATTTGTATATTTTTCATTTGTTCAATTAACAATAATTAAAAGAAGCATTTGTTCTGGGCCCATACATTGTTTCCAACATTTCAAAATGTCGTACGATCATTTCACCAAATATTATCGGGGGAAATTGCATCATTGGTCCTCAACATATTACCTTCATAACAAGTTAAACCAAATATTAAAAAGAAGTAAATTGATCCTAATATTTTATTATATATACAAATAAATTATTAAAACAAAAACAATCCAAGTCTTTGTTCAATCATCAAGTGATCTTACATGTTAGAAACATGAATTCATTTTCGAATGTAAGTTGGTAGCTAGAAATTTGTAGCGAGAGTTTTCTATAATGAAGAGCAGATGTTAATTTAACGAATGTTTAGATTGTATTTGTAACTGAGCACCAATTGTGCGGTTACAATGAGTTGATGAGGACTAACTCCTTACTTTTTATAAATTAAAAATTAGTTTGCTATTGATATAGCGGACGAGATTTAATAATTTAAAGGTGGAAAAGAGTGTTTGTTGGACCCCATTCAAACCACCATGGTGAGCCCATTTACCACTTTTATGCGTGTTAAAGAAAAGTTTTCATTTCCATAATTGATTGGATTTGGTGTATGATGCCACTAGTTGCAATAATCATAGGCTCGATTGATCAACCTTTTAGCATTTATTTTGGTGGATGTATACATATTCAAGAGAACATTATGAAGTGAAAATAAGGTGGAATAGGATAAATTGGCAGCTCTAATCAACTTGGACGTTGAGTTTTTCCAGTAAGAGTGAAAAAAAAAAAAAATTTAAAGAACGAAATTTTATAGTATATGTGATATTACATGAAATTCTAACTTTGGACAATTGTGAACACGATTATTCTCAGAAAATAAGAGGTGCGAAGATCTATCTTTGAAGTCTTTCTAATGCTTAAATTAATAGAGGATAACCGGGGAAAAGTATATGCTAAAATGGGTAGAGATGTGTACTTGTCGGAACAATTGAGTAAACATTAGTTCAACGGGAACATTGCATATTCTATGTAGAGTAACACTATTTGTAGTGAAAACTGTCGGTAGTCATCCTATGTGACATACACTTGACAATTTGGTATTTGATACATAGATATGGTAGTTATTTTTTGAATTATACATCAAATAAAAAACTGCAAAAATGTATGTCACGTATAACGACTGTCGATAGTTTTCACTGCGAATAGTATTATTCTTCTATGTAAGTTGGTGATGAACTAGTAATTATGCAGAACTACACATTCTGTTGCGTGTATCTCTCGCTATTTGCCAAACAAGAGTTTACTGGAATTAGGTAAGCGTCTTGAAGGTTTTGCATTTTTTTGCAGCTTCTTCCTAATTTAGCCACGTGGTAGTTGTTACCTAAGGACCAATTTTTTTTTTTTTTTTTTTTTTTTTTTTTTTTTTTTTTTTTTTTTTTTTTTTGGGGTGGTCAATTCGTGATCGTGAGACTGTGTCAAACTTTCATTGGTATTCAATTTGAGGTTTTGAACTTAAAACCTGTTTGGTAGAAATTATTTAAAAATTCATTTTCAATTATTTTTAGGCAAGAGTTTTGAGAATGACCTAAGTTTGTTTCCAATTATCTCTAATAATTCGACAAGAGGTGCTAGTTTTAAGCATAAAAAACGTGTGTGTAATTGAAGAATAAAAGAATTGATGAATAAAATAGTAAGTAAGAGAATAATTGACGTTGCCTGATGAAAATTAATATTTTTCGATAATTCGTAAGAAATCATTAACATAAATACCATTAGTTATTATAGGTGCACACCTAACATCGAACACTAATAGCATTGTTGTTCGTGATGTCGTCGACCATCACCAATGATGTTTTGGTCTTCGATTGTTGCAATTTTTTTTAAAGAAAATTTGGGGGTAATTGTTCCAATAATAATTAAGTGTATGGTCGTCACATAGACCTCAATGAACTTTACTTTATCAAAATGTTCTAAATTCATTACCGATTGGAAGAATCGAACAATAATTTGTGCTACGTGTAAATTCAGTACGTCACAAGGACAATTTTCATCCGAGTCAACAAACGAAATCCAACGAGTGATGGATGAAAAACATTTTGGTAAAGCTCACCAATATTCTAATAACAATTTAAAAGTTGAATGAAAGTTCTCGTAGCTCGATTCGAAGTTCGTTTATCTTCACAAAAGTTAACTTTTCATCACCCCAAATATGGACATTACACGTAAGTTAGTTTCACTGGTCCAACCCATAAGAACAGGTGCTTCGAGTCACTTTCTGGGCCCACAGCCCAAAACACAAATGAAAAGACAGAAGTGGGTGGAGTGATAGCCCAATCACTTCATGTCAAGCATTTGCCGAAAGAGCCTCCAAACGAATACCATCACTTTATGTTATAATAACCAAAATGCCCCTCAAGAATGTCACCTATTCTATCATCAAATAATTTTATTTTCCAATATTACCCCCCAGGTGTCAATTTTTTGCGGATTGACTTGGGCTCTTTTGTCTTTTCAAGTTTGTTGGTTTGGTTTCTTTTGGAAGAAACAAAGGAGAAAACGAAGTTTAATCAAATAGTATACTCCACCAAAAAAGTCAAATTCATCATTGGTGAAGCTTTCACCTTGAAATTGTAATTATTTCAGGGTCAAAATTCTTGCAAATTTTACTTTCACATTTACCTTATCTTACTTATCTACCAACCATTTGGCTATCTTCGTCACACATTCCATGGAGTAAGAAAGGGTGGTCACTTTATTTCTTGATTAATAAAATCATACTCGCAATGTGTTGACGATATTCTAACCCTGTTTAGTTTGGATAAAAATTAAAGTTTTAGGTCCCGTTTGGGAGTGATTTTCTACTCCAAAAATTTGATTTTTTGATCGTTATTTCATTATTTTAGCCGTAATTTTTTATTTTTTTCTCACAAGTGGCCCTTACTTTTCTCCTACAGTGAAAAAATCAATTCTCAAAATCACTAACGAACGGACTCATAGTATATTTTGATAAAAAAATTGACGAAATGTGTGTTGAAATTTTTTAAAAAATTTGTGGATTCTCAACTCACTTGTGATAGAAGTTTTAAAGTAGAGACCGACCATTTTTTTTTTTTTGATTGAGTAAAAGAACGATCGCTAAAATAGGACAAAAGTACGAAAGTTTCAAATAATTTAACCTATGTTTAGTGTAAATTATAATCAAATTAATTTTTTTAAAAGAATAAATCAAAGTCAATAATTAATTTTAACTACAACTTTTCAACCACACCATACACTTCAACAATTATTATTAAAATATATTAAAAACTAATATTAATCTACACTAAACAGGAGTTTGATATTTAGGATAAAATTTATCACTTATCATGGAGAAAAAGTGATAATATACAAAAATATATTTCATTAGATACGGAACAATATTGATATCCACTTTTACATATGCAAAATGTGTAAATTTGCATCTATCTATTCATAAAACAAGTAGAAATTTAATCTATTCCTATTATTAATTATTAAAAAGATTCTCAAAATATGGTAACTTTGCAATAATATTTTTGGGGAGAAAATAATAAAAATCGAAAAATAAAATAAGTATTGTCCCATCTTGAAATTTTGGTGCCGTAAACCTCTCTTCTACACATAACACCTCGAGGATGTACCCATCATGGGGCCTCATCATTGGAGATACTATTCTAGATATTACTCTCTTTACATTTAAAATTATAAAATCCGTTTGAAGATTATATTTAAATAAATAAGCACAATTCCAATCAAACGAGTTAAGTTTCTAGATAAGATAAGCAAAATATTTAGGTTTAAGTCTCGTCATTCATTTATGAAAACTGTGTATGTATCATATTTGGATTAAGAAAAATGACTTGAGCAGTTGAAAACAATATCAAAAATGAAATTTTTTTTATTCATTTTTTCTCATCGTATTTTTTTCTGGATATTTATATTCATAGATGTGTATTGAGCAAATATGCTTTTAGATTTCTAATTCATTTACAAAAGTTACTATCAGACTATCACTTCTCCATACCTTATCTGAATTTTCAATACTGTTGAGTCACATCTCTAGAGGTATTAGTAGGTGCAGGTAGAATCGTAACAATTTGACGATTTGAACATGTATAAAAATGTTTTTGAAGTATTAAGAGTGTGCATAAAAGTTGGAACAGGAGTGACTTATGATCAGGACAATTACCCTTTATAAACATGCAAACTACATTCGAATTTCTGACTGGCATAAGCACGGACTTTTCACTATCACTTCTCCATACCTCATCTGAATTTTCAATATTGTTGAGTCACATCTCATAGAGATATTAGTAGGTGCAGGTAGAATCGTAACAATTTGACGATTTGAACATGTATAAAAATGTTTTTGAAGTATTAAGAGTGTGTGGAGTGACTTATGATCAGGACAATTACCCTTTATAAACATGCAAACTACATTCGAATTTCTGACTGGCATAAGCACGGACTTTTTCTTGCTCATAAGTAGAAAAAATCTTTTCGTCTCTATTAAATTATTATTCTCCTTTTGTACCTTATTCATGCAATAATTATTAAATTAAATTATTATGCTTTTCTTTTCTAGTATTTTTCTGGGAATACTATGTTTGGAGATAGTGGCACGGTGCAATCATACATTTTTACCACCATATTCCCCTCATCCTACTTTCGTAGATTCTTGTTTCATAGTGTTCATACGAATCAAAATTTTGCTTTCCTTTCCCTTTCTCAATGTGGGTACATTATTTATTGCTTCCCATCATTAGTCTCTGAAACTTATAATTGGCTCATTTGACAGTCGAATTCTTAAAACTCAAACTCCCACATACTTTTTTAGTTAAGTTTGATTTCAGAGATTTTAAGGAAGCTTGATTTGCAGTCAGATTCTATGTTTTATGGGTTTCTTTTTTTGAGATTTCTTTGCTACGCTGACAAGAATTTCTGGGTAGTTTATTTCGGTCCGTTTCTGTATCTGGGATTTTTAAAACAAAATTCTGTTTGGTAATTGGAAAAAGCTGGAATCTTGGGAATTCCTTGATTCTTTCTTCGTGGGGTTTGAAGAAATTCTTATCTTCCCAAAATTCGTGGTCTTCTGGACACAAATTTGAAAAATTTTGGCTGGATATGAGAGCATGATCGTCTTTATTTTTCACTGATTTTAGTGGTTTATAGTTCTTTTTATTTTTTTTTTATTTTTTTTTATTTTTAAAGATTTGGCCGTGGGGGGTGGTTATAAATTTTTGATAAAAATAGCACAATTTCAGAGAAGGGCTCGAATTTTACATATTTGAAGCGAATTTTTCTTGGGTAATCTATTAATTCGATGAATTTACTTAACCTAATTGGATTTGGGCTGAAGGTATGGCGTCTGGTTTTGATGTTATGTTGCTGGTGTTTGCCTCTGATTTCTTATACTCGGTTAAGTAATAATGGTGAAGTGATGAGCACCAAAAGTGGTTTATTTAGTGATGGAGGGAAAATATGGATGAAATTGTGGAAACATATTTCAGAGTGTTTCTACAAGATTCACCATCATTATTCTGTGCATATCGGGTCGAGGAAAAACTGGTGGAGGAAGCTTTTAGGGGCGTGGATCGTGTTTTGGATCCTAATGGCTTTTGGGATATTCTGGTGTATGAGTTCCCAAACGGTTGAGAAGAGGAAAGAATCACTTGCTGGTATGTGTGATGAGAGAGCTAGAATGCTGAATGATCAATTCAATGTTAGCATGAATCATATTCAGGCCATGTCGGTTTTGATTGCAACTTTCCACCATGGGAAAAACCCTTCTGCTATTGATCAGGTATAATATTGGTTATCTTGATCATGGGGGAACTTGTTTGTTTGAGTGAACTAGTACATGGAAATCGATTGAGCTTCGATCCATGTTCCATATCATTTTAAGATTTCTACTTTCCATCGGTTAATATTGTTTTTCCTTAATCCTCATACATTTTTGGCACGTTTGAGTAAACAGGAACTCGATAGGACTAGACAACAGAAAAACAAGACAAAGCTAGCTTAATAGTCTTTAGTACTATTTTAGTCCAGCTTACCATATGATTCAATAAAGTTTCGAAAATTCTTTTTCTCATAACATTTAGTCCTGTAAGTTAACAATTGAACCGTAAAAACGTGCAGAGAACTTTCGCGAGCTATACCGAAAGAACGGCATTTGAGAGGCCTCTTACTAGTGGAGTGGCATATGCTGCAAGGGTTCTCCATTCTGAAAGAGAGCAATTTGAGATTCAACAAGGATGGACTATTAAGAGAATGGATAGTGTTGAACAAAACCCAGTTCACAAAGATGAGTACAATCCAGCAGACCTCGAGCCATCCCCGGTGCAGGAGGAATATGCCCCTGTTATCTTTGCACAAGATACTGTTGCACACATTATATCCATTGATGTGCTGTCAGGAAAGGTGATTTCTTATTATCGTGATCTATGGTTCGCTTAATACTAGAATTTAGCCAGCTTTCAGCCATATTGAGCTGTTGAAATACACATGCTGAGCCACCTAATCTAAAATCTTAAGCTATTAGAAGGGCACACTTTTATCCACTTAAATTTAGTCTTCAACATGTCCCTTCAGATATAGGCTAGAATTATTTTTTCACTGAAGGGCTGACTACTTCCTTAGCTGCTTCACAATCCCCGCAGCAGCAAGTAGCAAATATAGAAGCTCTCCAAAAGAACTTTCTATGGTCAGCATAAGAAAGGAAGAAGCTTCACCTAGTCAGCTGTCTGTTAAATTCATGATTCCTGCCTCCTTTGACATCATCTAAAAGCTTAAGTTTTTAGAAAAGTGACGCATTTACTTATATAAAGTTAGTCTTTATCAACTCACATGGTATTTCTGCATAATCAATGATCTATGACGTGAAAATCAGCAGTCATGCGATTTTGAAGTTCCACATTTGCCTTTTACTTGCAGAGTGATAGTGATTATATCCATTTCTGAAATGCCATTGTTAGCATTGTTTATCACATGTTTGTCTTATTTTAGAAGTTGAAAGGATAAATAGAGAGAGAAAAGATGAGAAAGACATTGTAACATGCTCAATGTTAACAGGAAGATAGTGAGAATGTATTGCGTGCGAGAGAGTCAGGAAAGGGTGTCCTCACTGCGCCTTTCCGGCTACTCAAAACAAACCGCCTTGGAGTAATACTGACGTTTGCTGTCTATAAACGAGATCTTCCGCCTTATGCAACCTCAAGTGAAAGGACCGAAGCAACTGCCGGGTATATGGCCTATTCTCACGTATTCTTGTAAATAAAAGCAGTTTTCTTTCTTGTTTCTATATAACGACCACATATTGACTTCCAATGTTCTTATTCACCCATATATAAAGAATAAATTTTCTGATATAAGCGGGATGTGGCTAGGTTGTTGAATAATAACTATTTCTATGTTTTTACTTCTTCCATGCAGATATTTTGGGGGAATCTTCGATGTTGAATCCCTCGTAGAAAAACTACTTCAACAGCTTGCTAGCAAACAGGTTATCCTTGTTAATGTGTATGATACTACTAATCTCTCCGATCCGATTAGCATGTATGGTTCAAACATATTGAATGATGGGATGCATCATGTAAGTGCCCTTAACTTTGGAGATCCATTCAGAAAGCATGAGATGCATTGCAGGTGACTTAAATTATCTCTTCTTTGAATTTTTTTCTCAGCTTTGTCTTATCATTACTTGCTAGGGTTAAAAGCACTGTTACTCTCAACTTCTAGTGAAGTTTCATATTAGCCACTGAATTTTTATTTGAAGATGACTGAAGTTTATTTTGTTTTAAAGTGGTCACCAAATATTGCTGCTTGTTTCAGTTTGTTCATGCAATAAACTCCAATAGATTTCCTAAAAGAATACAAATCTGACGTGGTGTCAACATGGAGGTCATTCATGCCAGACATCTGTTAGACAAACGTTCAGAATTTAACTAAGTGACTAAACTGAAACAAAATGCAAACTTTAGCGACCACTTTAAAACAGGATAAAGTATAGTGACTAACAGTAAAGTTAGCTGTAGGTTGAGTGATTAACAGTGTTTTACCCCCTTGCCAGGTTCTTGAGTTTCTGATCATTTGATGCCACTTACAGTGGAAGTGTAATCGTGACTATCAGATTACTCGAAGAAGAGATTAAATCTGTTCAAATTAATCATGGTTCTCATATCCATAGTTTCTTGCTGATTGGAACCTAGGAAAGAAGCCTCTGTTTGCTCTTGATTGTGTTTCATTTTTGACCTGGGTGTGCTAATATGACATTCTATTTATATAGATTCAAACTAAAACCACCATGGCCGTGGGGTGCAATAACTACGTCAAGTGGCATTCTTGTAATTGCATTGCTCATTGGGCAAATATTCCATGCCACAATGAACCGGATCGCTAAAGTTGAGGATGATTACCATGAGATGATGGAGCTAAAGAAACGTGCAGAGGCTGCCGATGTTGCAAAGTCACAGGTATTTGCTCTTTCAGTTCATCCTCGGAGGTTACTAGTAGATCCTCATGTGCGCATGTAAAACCAATTTGTTGTACTGCAGTTTCTTGCTACTGTTTCCCATGAAATCAGAACCCCAATGAATGGTGTTCTTGGTGAGTGCCATTTAATTGTTCTTCCTCTGGCTATATATTTCAGTGTCTCAAGTCTCATTGAAATCACAATCTAGAAGATTGATGACAATTTAATTCGTTTACTCTTCCAGGAATGCTGCATATGCTTATGGATACAGATTTAGATGAAACTCAAGAAGATTACGTAAGAACTGCTCAAGAAAGTGGTAAAGCTTTAGTTTCACTCATAAATGAGGTTTTGGACCAAGCAAAGATTGAATCAGGTAGACTTGAGCTTGAGGCAGTGTGCTTCGATTTGAGGGCCATTTTGGATGATGTTTTATCACTATTTTCTGGAAAATCACAAGAAAAGGGAGTCGAGGTAAATTATAAATCAGACTTCTAGCTTGGTCAACTGTTTGTTTTTATCAGCACTCTGATTTGATCCCTTTTATGCGCCTGATCTGCTTCCTTTATACAATTCATGAACAGTTGGCAGTTTATGTCTCTGATAAAGTCCCTGCTGTACTAGTTGGTGATCCAGGAAGATTTCGACAGATTATTACAAATTTGATGGGCAACTCGATCAAAGTGAGTGCATGTTTTATTAGATCTTTCCTGTTGAAGAAGTTTAGCATTTTTTTACATGAATGTGCACAAGGATAGAGTAGAGGACAGCTATGCTCGGTCGAACTTGTGAATCTGTTAGCAAAAGCACAGAAAATTTAAACGATAAATGTACTGAATTTTCATTCATTATTTTTCATGGAAATTCTAGGTTAAGATAATTGGCTCAAATTATGGTAAAAGCCCTTTTTTTGTTTATTGTTTCTGTAAAAGAAAAGTTTTATGCTGCTTGTACACGTCACTTCTGTTGATAGTAACCTAATGATTTGTTTACTTGTAGTTCACTGAGAAAGGACACATATATGTGACTGTCCATCTTGTCGAAGAAGCTGTGAATTTGATGGAACTGGAAATGGAATCACCTTCAAATAGCACTTTGAGTGGGTTGCCTGTAGCCGATAGATGGCGAAGCTGTGCAGGATTTAAAGCTTTTAGTCGGGAGGAATCTGTTCCCACGTATTCCTCATCCTCGACTGACCAAGTTAATCTAATTGTATCAGTGGAGGACACGGGTCAAGGCATCCCATTAGAAGCACAATCTCGTGTATTCACCCCGTTCATGCAAGTTGTCCCCTCCATAACCAGAACGCACGGTGGCACAGGTATTGGACTAAGCATAAGCAGGTGCTTGGTCCATCTCATGAAAGGTGAAATTGGCTTTGCAAGTTTGCCGCAGATTGGATCCACCTTTACTTTCACAGCTGTTTTCACTCGTGACTGTTCCAATGCCAATGACCAGAAGAGTCAGCAAATCAACAACCAGTTGAAGTCCATTTCTTTAGAATTCCGGGAAATGAGAGCTTTACTTGTGGACCCCAGGCCCACCCGTGCAAAGGTCTCTGTATACCACATTGAGCGACTTGGAATCCGTGTTGAAGTAGTTCGTGATCTGGATAATGGTTTCTTTAGCATAAATACCGGAAACTCACCGCCAAATGTAGTTTTCATTGAATGGGAAGTTTGGGATAAGGACTTAACCTTGTCGACTCTCTTTGTCAACAAATTAAGGAGTCTCAATTGTGCAGTTACTCCTAAACTATTTCTGTTATCTGGTACAATAAGTTCTACTCGAGCCATAGTTTCCAGTGTTTTCACTCCATCTGTAATCATGAAACCGTTAAGGGCAAGTTTGCTCACTGCATCCCTACAGCACTCCATGGGCGTCAGGAACAGAGTAAATCATCGCAATGGGGAGCTTAGTACATTGTCCCTCAGAAATCTTCTTCGTGGTAGAAAGATTTTAGTAGTAGATGACAATTTGGTGAATCTCAGAGTTGCCACAGGTGCCTTGAAGAAATATGGTGCTGATGTGGTCCATGCAGAAAGGGGCAAAGAAGCAATCTCGCTGCTAACTCCACCCCATCATTTTGATGCCTGTTTCATGGATATCCAGATGCCGGAAATGGATGGGTAAGCATCACATAATCCCTATTTGCTGTATATTTGATTGCATTATAGCTTTAGCATTATGTGGATTCAAGGGATTTCCCTTCTCTAGTCGATGTTGCACTATATAAAGCTTAATCATATTTTCATTTACCGAAAATATACCCCTCGATCGCAAATTTTTTCTTTTTATTATTATTAGGTTGCTCTAATTTCCTACTTGAGGGGACCATTTTATGAGTTGAGATTTGCCGTCTAAATAGTCGTTCATCCAATGAATTATTGACATGTCATCAATTATTAATATATCATCTCAAATTTACCCTTGTTAACTTCGCCACTAACCAATCAAGTTGATGATATATCAATAACTCATTGGATGGACAGTCATTTGGACAGCAAAATTAGATGGCAGATCTCATCTCCCATTTTATATGGATACACAGTGAAGAGGCAGGAGATATCTATTGTGAACTTCTTGATTTTAGTGAAAACCTGCAGCGAGTTGATTGAATTCTCACTTTGAGGGTGAATCACTATAAATTGTGCATTTTCTCTGCGTTGGTTAAACAATCAATTTTATGTTGATTACATATAAATTTGAGTGATGATTATACGCCACACTTTAATAGCCATACTTAAGCTGCACTTATCTTTCTTGTATTGGTATTCTGTTAGTTCGCATTTGCAGTAGAGATTTTGGCTATTTACAATTTATAAATTCCACAGGTTTGAAGCTACACAGAGGATTAGGGACATTGAATCTAGTATTAACAACCGTATCCGTACTGGAGAACTCTCTTTAGAAGCTTACAGAAATATTTCGACTTGGCACACACCCATATTGGCCATGACAGCTGATGTAATTCAAGCTACAAACGAAGAATGCCTGAAGTATGAAATGGATGGCTATGTCTCCAAACCTTTCGAGGCTGAGCAACTTTATCGAGAAGTTTCACGCTTTTTTCAGACAGCGTCAAATGAGAATCCTAGGACGGATTTTCTGTTTGATGCTGACGATGTTACAAGCACGGGCCCTGTTCCTCGTGGCATGTTGGAGTCTTAAATTGGCTGTAAGTATTCTCCAACTTTGAGCACATAATATCGAAGGATCTATGTTCATGATCTCGAGTCATTACCGTAATTGCCAATCTTGACGAGAAATGCAGCGTGATGTCTATGTGAGAACTTCATTGAAACAAGATAATCTGATGTAATTATAGCCAATTACTCATTCGTGGCTGGCATTATTATATGTAAAATGCTTTTTCATTTAGGGGAATAGTGTTTATTCCTTGTAGTGAATGAACAGCAATAAAGCTTATNTGGCATTATTATATGTAAAATGCTTTTTCATTTAGGGGAATAGTGTTTATTCCTTGTAGTGAATGAACAGCAATAAAGCTTATATAAGAAGAATTAAACTTCTTTGTCAGAATTTTTTGGACATAATGGTAGACATTCTTTCACAGCGCGTGGGCCCCTGTTGAATAAGAAAGTCCAAAAAAGAAGTGGATCCCTCGCACAATGTGAGTGTCGGTCATCCATTATATTAAAAAAAAATTTAGTCACTATAGCATTGTTGATATAAGAATATCCACTCTGTGTAGTGTTATTACTAATTCGTACAATGGTCGTTATTCGGAGGGAAAAAAATGAAAAATAAAAAGTTAAGATATGTCAATTTTTGGGCTCCATTAATTTCAAAATGTGTTTTTTTCTTTCTTCTCAAACACAAATTCTCTAATAAAATAATATTACATGTAAATTTACAATTTTTTTTCTTTTTTAAGGATATATTTTTTTAAAAATCAATATTATAAAATTCATTTTTCCAAAAATTAATTATAATGGAGCTCAAGCATCAAGTTCTGGATTAAGTAGATATGCGACCGAGGACGTCCTTTTTACTTTCGTAGGATCATGATTACGACTGGTTTAAATTAGTTTAAATAAAAAAGTTGATATACTTCAACAGCAGAAGTCGATATGTCCGAGTGGTTAAGGAGACAGACTTGAAATCTGTTGGGCTTCGCCCGCGCAGGTTCGAACCCTGCTGTCGACGTTTCTTTTTCTGTTTTGAACATTTTGTGAAATTTCCAGTGAGAACCCTAACATTTGCAATAAAGTGCAACTGAGTCCCCCAGTTTGAAAATTAGGTTTATCCTTGACTTCACATTTCTGAAGATATGATGGGAACAGGATTCTCTCAATTTCATTTTTCGGGTAAATCTTCGTAAATCACCCGCTCACTAGACAACTTCGATTTGCTTTAGCCTCTGTTCAGGCCCCATTACATTTGGATTTTGGAAAAATTAAAAAAATTAAAAATAGAGAATGTGATTAAAAATAAGAAAGAGAAAAATGTATTTTTTTTAATAATAGAGTTCAAACAATGGCTTAATTTAATTACCTAAATGACGTTTTTGTTTAGTTTTACCTTCCATGTGTAGCAGTGACCAAAATCAGTAACAGATCTTACGTGGCTAATAAATGCATTATTTTGTGTTTTTTTTTAGGGTTGGACAAAATTATCGAATCGAATCGAATCGAGCGGTTCTTCTTAAATTAAATACCCAAACGGATATCTGCATTGAGAACGTAGGGGTTCGGTTCGATTCGATTCTCGATTTTAGATCAAGAACCGAAGAATCGAATAAGAACTGAATCTCCCTAATTTTTTAAATTACTTTATTTTAAGTAAGCCTAATTATTTTATTTTTCTAAATAAATTTGCTAACTAGTTAATTTAGCTCAAACCAAAAAATATGATTTTCCTATTTCTTATTTTCAGTTCAAAGCCAATTTAATCAAATTAACCTAAATTTTATTTAGATTTGTTACTCCAATGTAGTGCCGTTTCTATTGTTATGAAAAAATTAAATTGACGCTCAACAAAGCCTCTTTTAATTATTGTGAGCTCACTATCTTCTCATTTCTCTGATTTTAACAATCAAATTTATGAATAACTCAGCAAAGAGAGACGCCAAAAACACATAAAATTACACTACATTATTTTGTAAGAGCTGAAATTAAACATATCATTAGTTGAATTAATATATCTTTGTAAATATTAAAAATTTTAATTATAATATGGAAACGAGTGGAATTGAATTCGAATGGTTCCATAATTAAATTTGGACCTGACGGTTCCACTTACTAAATACTCGAGACTTTCAAGTCCAATTTGATTCTTGTTAGAACTGAACCGAATTAGACCATATCCAGCCCTAGCTTTTTTTTGACACTTAAGATTACTGAACATATTGAAAATTGATCGAATAAAGACAAATTTAAGATTATAAAATTCTCTTGTCCATATTTTTTCTTTATTAAAACTACTGATATAATGTTAAATAGTGACGGAGCCATGAAGAGTCCAGTGCAAGCACCTGCCTGCACTGAACTTCGGAGCCAAACACAGTCCAACTTCTTTGCCTGCGCTGAACTTGGGAGCTAAACCCAGGGCTTTACTTGTGGTACAATGCTGAGGGGTAAAAATTTCTTCTGCTTTGAATGTCAAGCTACTGAGCAAGTGCATTGTAATCACTAAGTTCTTCTAGAGGGGCTGAAGATACAACACCGACTTCAAGAAAAATTCTAGATTTGTGTGGTTCATTAATCTTATTTCTTGAAGCTTTTTCTTCAAGGGAGAGAATAATATGGATAAATTGGGGATGCAACCATCAATCGTCACCGCCATTCGTAGAAGAACCTGGGAAGGATTAGTGCTAATTTTATTGGAAGAATTATCTAGAATAATGGAGCTTCTATTCACCGACATTAAAGAACCATGTAGAAGACAAAGCTAGGCCATAGTTGCGGTCCATATTCTGCCTATATATATGTGTGTTGCTGTATATAATTATGTGAGAGAGAGAGAGGCAGGAAACATATACATAAAGTGGTGTAAGTTGTGAGTGGAAGAGAGAGAATAAGTTGTTAAATAAACAATTGGTTAGTGTTTTTGGTTTGTGTATAAAATTTGTTAGTTTACTTCATTAATAAAATACTATATTGGGTGTTTAAATCTAACAGGGGCCACATAATGCATTCTTCTGCTCATCTTTTTTTATTATTTAATCTTTCTTTTTTTCTTTTTTGTTGAAAATATTGGTCCTTGAAGTAGGAAAGATATTGTAAAATCTTTAAAGCTCTTTGGGTTTTCTTTATTTATTATTGTTGCTGCTATTGAAAAATGATTCGAGTAATTTTAGGTGTTTCTTGAAACTGGAAGTGAAGTTGTTTGGGGATTTGTAAAACATGGGATTCGGTGGTTGATGCATTAAAGGTGGAGTTTTGGGTTGTGGAGAAATCAAAGGCAGGAAGAAGAGATTAGTCCTCAGGCATTGAGAAGAATGAAAGAATTTTACCCTTTAATATAATGCTCTGTTACAATTTACCTTATGTATACTTGTTTATCAATTATTTGCTGCAAGAAGATTGAGGATGAATTTAGAATCTGGTGACAATCAATAAATTTCCATATTATCTTGAATCTATTTAGTTTCACTTGAGGCAATAGTAAATGTAGAAAATTTAATATTAATGTTTAGAAAAAGAAAAAAAAAAAAAAAGGTACCTTATGCTTTGAATGTTATCTGCAGTGGATAACGAGTTATCTGCATTGTTCCAATTCTCCAAAGTCAATCTCCAAGCTATTTAGTTAATAGCAAAGACTTGGTTAAGTTAAAAAAATCCTTCGAGATCATAGATTAGTAGAGGGTCCAAATTAAAGGTCATTCTTAAACCTCAAAAACTCGGTGTCGGACATTGATTAAATTTTTCGCATATTGAAAAACATTCCTGGCTCCGCCCCTAATGTCAAACACGTCGTTTTGACAAACATGTGGAGCAAATCGAAACTAATATGACATATTTTATTTGTTAAGGACTTGGTTATTTTGAATTTTTGAATAGATCTAACACTATATCAAACAAAGTGACAAAATATTCATAATTTAAGTTTACTAAAAATAGGCAAATTGCTATATTCTTCTAAAAAACATATATATTTCTTGTTTTGTGCATGTCATTCTTAATATAGAGCAGCTTAATATGTCTCCTGCACAAGGACGACACGCACAAATAAAAAATAAAATTCAATTCGCTCATCGAATTGTCTATTCTGATACCAACTTTAACTACATTGAGTAAAACCACCTTTAAAACAGACTTGTGACAAGAGGGTGCTCAATGTGTTTCTAAACCTACAAGACATGTCACAAGATGTGAAATACAAATTATACCATTAGATCGTTACAAAAATATTTTTTTCATAGTTTTCTCCCATCTATTTCTTATTATTTATGCAAGCATTTACAAAAGATATATCCTGATTATGAAAAATAAAAAATACAATCAACGTAAACGAAGGGTAGACTATAAGAGTAATGATATTTGGACTGCTCATCGTCATAGTCGCCTTACGTGACATACATGTGGCTATTAGTGATTTAATATATTAATGTGATAGTTTGTTTATTATCTTATGCAACAAATCACCAACTGCCACATATATATCACGTAGAGCGATTGAGGTAGTAAACAACTGCAAATAGTATTATTCAAACTATAATATACAAAGTTATGTCTAGTAATTGTAATCATTTTCCATTTGAGAAATGTCAAGGTAAGACGAAGATGATTTATCAGACTCCGAATTTTCAAGTTCAGCCTGCAAATTAATACCGTGGTCACAATTTTTTTTCCAGCAAAAACAGATTATCAAGGGACAAATTTGATTAAAGGAGAAGAACAAAATGTGGGCACGTCAAATACATGTCAATTTATAGTTCGAGTCATAACGGGAGACAAATAGGTTTATTTGTAAAGAAAATAAAGCAGAACAAACATTATTCAACAAGTCGTCACAATTAAGAAAAACTATTGGACAATGTGGAGCCTAATCATGTTGTACACTTATTTGCTTGACAGTGGAGTAAATTTCGTGGTAAGGTCAACTTGGAGTATACTACATATTTCGTATTTCTATTAGGCTTCCCTCATAGTCCTCTACATGTAAGGAATTTTTGTGGGACTGCTCAGATACGGTATATTACCATGGTAAACTTTTTTCTATTATGGTATAAATCTGCTGCGGCGACTGGACATAGATCTTGAGGCTGGATCACTAAAATATGTGTATTTTTTATTTTGTTTTGCTTAATATTGCTCAAGTAATTGGAATTATGGCTTAATCCCTAACAGAAATAAGGCATTAATATATAAGAAAGGCAGCTATGTTTTACTTGAAGAAAGCATTATGTTTACTTTCAATATTAAAACGAATGCGGAAAATTATAATTATATCCCTGGGAGTATATATTGAGCATGGAATTGATATCATTGGAGTAATAAAAATTCGATAGTTGATCTCCTAAATTAGTGATAAAATTCAATTTCAATAACAAGATATGAAACTTGAGTTACCTTAGCTTGACGATATTTTTCAAGAATGCGACGGTATTGCTGACGAGCCTTTGGAGATTCAACCATAGACAGCACCCTGGAGACAGACTCATCAATAGCTGCATCCACTTTCTGCTTGCGGAACACCTTAAGGATGTCTTCATCCTCGCTTTCATCAATAGATTCCAAGTCATGTCGAAATCCACGCAGACCAACTCCTCGCCTGCGCCACCTTAGTACTACCTTCTCCAGTACACCAACTGCCCAGCAAACCTTATAATTCTTCCTAACCTGATAGCCTCTCACATGAGCCTGCAGCAACAAGATCCAAATAAGAGCCACATCGTATGTCCTTATTGAACTAATATATGGCACTATTTGGGTGATGAGAATTATAGTGTGTTTGGTAGAGAGGAATGGATAACATTGGACAGTATTAAAAAGGAAAAAGAAGCTAAATCTAGTTATTTTAGCGTCTAGTCTTGTCCAGGAGTACATACAAACATTTGCGCTGACCACCAAA